ATTGTACGTTTACATGTACTTCAGTAATTACAGTTGACCCTTTAGTTACCTCAAAGTTAATGGTAGCTTTATTATACCAGTTCACATCAACATATAGGATCATCCACTGATGTAAATAATGATACATTCTAGCATCAATACAGGTCATCTTGCTTTAATGCTTTAGAAAAAAACATTCATTTCATTTGATATCACAGTAATTTTCCTAGTATCTATTCTATTTTCTCTGATATAGTATTATATCTGTTAACTTTTTGTGTTATAGTAGTAGTATACCAGTCACACAATTGGTTAACATTCATAATACAAATATAATCATACAACAACAAATATAAATGTCAAGTTTTTATGTTGAATGATTTTATTTACTGCAACATATTTGAATTATCTATATATTTGATCAGAAGCTTAATCGATCTGGAACAGTGAGCAAATAACATGCCTGAAATTGTATATTCAGTAAATAATTAAGTGAATTGAGTTGGATCTGGTAGAAAGCTGTATACATATATACAGTGGAGTTGGTTGTGTAACAGGAAATACTTCATCATCTACCTATTACCACTATAGCTAGTGGTCAATACATACAGTGGTCTTACAAGCCCACGTGACATGTACCTATTACCACTATAGCTAGTGGTCAATACATACAGTGGTCTTACAAGCCCACGTGACATGTACCTATTACCACTATAGCTAGTGGTCAATACATACAGTGGTCTTACAAGCCCACGTGACATGTACCTATTACCACTATAGCTAGTGGTCAATACATACAGTGGTCTTACAAGCCCACGTGACATGTACCTATTACCACTATAGCTAGTGGTCAATACATACAGTGGTCTTACAAGCCCACGTGACATGTACCTATTACCACTATAGCTAGTGGTCAATACATACAGTGGTCTTACAAGCCCACGTGACATGTACCTATTACCACTATAGCTAGTGGTCAATACATACAGTGGTCTTACAAGCCCACGTGACATGTACCTATTACCACTATAGCTAGTGGTCAATACATACAGTGGTCTTACAAGCCCACGTGACATGTACCTATTACCACTATAGCTAGTGGTCAATACATACAGTGGTCTTACAAGCCCACGTGACATGTACCTATTACCACTATAGCTAGTGGTCAATACATACAGTGGTCTTACAAGCCCACGTGACATGTACCTATTACCACTATAGCTAGTGGTCAATACATACAGTGGTCTTACAAGCCCACGTGACATGTACCTATTACCACTATAGCTAGTGGTCAATACATACAGTGGTCTTACAAGCCCACGTGACATGTACCTATTACCACTATAGCTAGTGGTCAATACATACAGTGGTCTTACAAGCCCACGTGACATGTACCTATTACCACTATAGCTAGTGGTCAATACATACAGTGGTCTTACAAGCCCACGTGACATGTACCTATTACCACTATAGCTAGTGGTCAATACATACAGTGGTCTTACAAGCCCACGTGACATGTACCTATTACCACTATAGCTAGTGGTCAATACATACAGTGGTCTTACAAGCCCACGTGACATGTACCTATTACCACTATAGCTAGTGGTCAATACATACAGTGGTCTTACAAGCCCACGTGACATGTACCTATTACCACTATAGCTAGTGGTCAATACATACAGTGGTCTTACAAGCCCACGTGACATGTACCTATTACCACTATAGCTAGTGGTCAATACATACAGTGGTCTTACAAGCCCACGTGACATGTACCTATTACCACTATAGCTAGTGGTCAATACATACAGTGGTCTTACAAGCCCACGTGACATGTACCTATTACCACTATAGCTAGTGGTCAATACATACAGTGGTCTTACAAGCCCACGTGACATGTACCTATTACCACTATAGCTAGTGGTCAATACATACAGTGGTCTTACAAGCCCACGTGACATGTACCTATTACCACTATAGCTAGTGGTCAATACATACAGTGGTCTTACAAGCCCACGTGACATGTACCTATTACCACTATAGCTAGTGGTCAATACATACAGTGGTCTTACAAGCCCACGTGACATGTACCTATTACCACTATAGCTAGTGGTCAATACATACAGTGGTCTTACAAGCCCACGTGACATGTACCTATTACCACTATAGCTAGTGGTCAATACATACAGTGGTCTTACAAGCCCACGTGACATGTACCTATTACCACTATAGCTAGTGGTCAATACATACAGTGGTCTTACAAGCCCACGTGACATGTACCTATTACCACTATAGCTAGTGGTCAATACATACAGTGGTCTTACAAGCCCACGTGACATGTACCTATTACCACTATAGCTAGTGGTCAATACATACAGTGGTCTTACAAGCCCAAGTGACATGTACCTATTACCACTATAGCTAGTGGTCAATACATACAGTGGTCTTACAAGCCCAAGTGACATGTACCTATTACCACTATAGCTAGTGGTCAATACATACAGTGGTCTTACAAGCCCAAGTGACATGTACCTATTACCACTATAGCTAGTGGTCAATACATACAGTGGTCTTACAAGCCCAAGTGACATGTACCTATTACCACTATAGCTAGTGGTCAATACATACAGTGGTCTTACAAGCCCAAGTGACATGTACCTATTACCACTATAGCTAGTGGTCAATACATACAGTGGTCTTACAAGCCCAAGTGACATGTACCTATTACCACTATAGCTAGTGGTCAATACATACAGTGGTCTTACAAGCCCAAGTGACATGTACCTATTACCACTATAGCTAGTGGTCAATACATACAGTGGTCTTACAAGCCCAAGTGACATGTACCTATTACCACTATAGCTAGTGGTCAATACATACAGTGGTCTTACAAGCCCAAGTGACATGTACCTATTACCACTATAGCTAGTGGTCAATACATACAGTGGTCTTACAAGCCCAAGTGACATGTACCTATTACCACTATAGCTAGTGGTCAATACATACAGTGGTCTTACAAGCCCAAGTGACATGTACCTATTACCACTATAGCTAGTGGTCAATACATACAGTGGTCTTACAAGCCCAAGTGACATGTACCTATTACCACTATAGCTAGTGGTCAATACATACAGTGGTCTTACAAGCCCAAGTGACATGTACCTATTACCACTATAGCTAGTGGTCAATACATACAGTGGTCTTACAAGCCCAAGTGACATGTACCTATTACCACTATAGCTAGTGGTCAATACATACAGTGGTCTTACAAGCCCAAGTGACATCTACCTATTACCACTATAGCTAGTGGTCAATACATACAGTGGTCTTACAAGCCCAAGTGACATCTACCTATTACCACTATAGCTAGTGGTCAATACATACAGTGGTCTTACAAGCCCAAGTGACATCTACCTATTACCACTATAGCTAGTGGTCAATACATACAGTGGTCTTACAAGCCCAAGTGACATCTACCTATTACCACTATAGCTAGTGGTCAATACATACAGTGGTCTTACAAGTCCACGTGACATCTACCTATTACCACTATAGCTAGTGGTCAATACATACAGTGGTCTTACAAGCCCAAGTGACATGTACCTATTACCACTATAGCTAGTGGTCAATACATACAGTGGTCTTACAAGCCCACGTGACATTTACCTTTTACCACTATAGCTAGTGGTCAATACCTACAGTGGTCTTACAAGCCCACGTGACATCTACCTATTGCCGCATAATAGCTAGTGGTCAATACATACAGTGGTCTTACAAGTCCACGTGACATCTACCTATTGCCGCATAATAGCTAGTGATCAATACATACAGTGGTCTAGAACAGTGGTATAAGATATCTAAAGAATGCAATAATAGAACCATTTATGACGATTTCATTAAGTAACACAATTTAACATATTATGAAGAGAGGATATAAGCAGGATGTATGGTAAGTAGTTAGTGATGGAGCCTCTTCAGTCTTAGATGTTTGTGTACATGATTGGTCAGTTTGAATTGCAGCAACCTTTGTAGAGCCAAATACACAAAGGTCAAGTACATTTACATTCTTGCCAACTTTATGCATGCTCAAAATTAAAACATAAATAAAATGAGTATACAACCCCTATAGACAAAATATCCCTTTAAATGACATATTATATCAGGAGTCTCCCTCCTAAATAGGGAGCTTGGCAAGTATGTACTTACCTGTATGTAATTGTTTATAGTAACAATGGTCAAGGACATGCTCTCATAAAACTCAATTTGTTAGAGCGTCCATCTAGAATTGGAGGTCCTCGGGTGGAATCCTCGTCTTGCCGTGCTTTTCTGCTCTCCTGTTACAATTGCAACATAAATTCTACATTTTACCTGTATAGGTACATCTTAGCTAAATCACAGTTTTCATTGAACCAATATAGTTATTCACTAAGTCACATGTCCCATACAAATACATTTTGTATCACAGTCTATACCAGTAGTAATTTACTAAAACATGTGACCAAGGCAGATATTTCAGTTTTCATATATAGCCCATTAGTAATCCAATCACAGTCATGTAAGTGAGGTATAAACTAATTATCCTCTAGATATAATTCAAAGTGATATAATGTTCTTGTCAAAAGGAAGGAACAGTGATTGGTTATGTACAACAATTGCCATACAGGAAGGTGTCTAACTTCCTAAAATGTGGTAAGATCGGTCTTGTCTCTGCAGTCTCAAATATAATTCAGATCTTTTTAAATTACAGAAGTAGTTTGATCATATCTAGCTGGTATAAATAGGTTTGCTACAGCTGTGTCCTGCTGTTTATTGATATCTATGTATATATATAAGGTACATGGTTGTATGAAAGTGATATAGATATAGTTAACAGATCATTTAGAGATCTGTAAATATACAGTGTATACATAAGGGCATGTACATTTATCCCCAGTTGTTCATACTTGTAAAGAATTCTAGAACTTTCTTTGTTAGAGAAAATAAAAGAATCAAATTTTACCGATGTTTCTGATCTACTTTTGCAGGTCCATGCTTACATCATCAGCCACCTGAAGAAAGAAATGCCTTCTATGTTTGGGAAGGACGCCAAGAAGAAGGACCTGATCAAGGCTCTGGGTGAGACCTACACTGCTCTTCAGAGGGAACACAATATCTCCCCGGGAGACTTCCCAAGTCTGACCAGGATGCAGGAGCAGCTTCAACATCACGATTTCACCAAGTTTCACATCCTTAAACCCAAACTTATCGAGACGGTCGATCAAATGCTTGCCCAGGACATCGCGCGCCTCATGCAGATGATCCCGTTGGAGGAGGCAATCAGTGCCAAGGAAGGTCAAGGGGTCAAGGGCGGTGCCTTTGAAACAATGAGTGAGAGCGTGTTCGGCTACGGACGGGGAGAGGGTATCGATGAAGGGCGTGGGGATCATGAATGGGTGGTCAACCAAGAGAAATACAAGTATGATGAGATGTTTGATAAGCTCAATCCTGTGGATGGTAAAATCACTGGTGCATCAGCAAAGTCCGAATTAGTGAAATCCAAGTTGCCAAATTCAGTGTTGGGTAAGATCTGGAAGTTGTCGGACATTGACAAGGATGGTATGTTAGACATGGATGAATGGGCGCTAGCTAACCACTTAGTGAAGGTCAAATTAGATGGAAATGATTTGCCTGCAGAACTTCCAAAACATTTAGTGCCACCATCCAAACAAAACCTTCTGTAAAATGAACTTTAAAACTTTCAGAACAGCAATTGGCATCGTCAAGCATGCTGTTCCGGATCTCATGGTTTTCATCCTAAAATAATCCAATTGCATAAAAATGGGGTGAATCCTTACAGAAGAATAAAAAAGATGTGTGAGTTCAAGGGAGAGAACTTATAGGTATAGAAGGTCCATCAGAAGTAGAACTAGTTAGGTTGGTACCACATGTAGAGTCTGACTATATGTTGTATGATAGTCAGTGTGTAATACATCTGTATATAAACATCTACATAAGCTTCTTTGTACCTGTACAACAACAAAATATAATTTCCTGTGAAATTAGATTTTCAGAAAATTGAACTTTAGATCAATTTGACTACATTTCTAGCCAGAAAAATTAAGTGTCCATTACACATCAGTAATCAGTGATGTCATTCTAATAGGCTGTAGGTTTGAAGAGGAATATTCCTGAAATGATGCTTCTAAACTTTATGTAAAGAACATGTTAAAAACCATCTACAAAATTTCAATTGATTGATGTATTTCATAAACCATTTTAAAAATATTTCAAATGTTTTAATTATTCAATAAATTTTGATATTTGATTACAGTGTTTTACATACACATGTATGTAAATGTTTGAGATTTGTGGAGAGTTACAGTTATTTTTTAAGTTCAGTACAAAGTTTATTTTTAATGAAATTTTTGTATGAATAGTATTGTGAAAATGAACTATAATGCTGTTTTTAGGAAAGCTACAGATCACCATTTGCTGTGATATTTATGTCTGTACACAAAAGGTTTCCATTGTTTTGTCGGGGGGGGGGGGGGTCACAGTATGACTGTCTATCACATATTCAGTTCAGCTCCAAGAAAACATATTTTCCATGGAAAGATTTTTTTTAAGAAATTGAGAAATGCAGGAAGATACCATTGATGCCTATTTTGCTCGGATATTGTATAATTTATATATCACCTGTATCACCTGTGTATCTGTTTCAGTAATTGTAATCACCAAATACCCCTATATCTGTAATATGTACTTATATAGATACATGTTATACATGTACAGCATGACAGCATCAATCTCAAGTTGTTGATTAATTTTACAATGGTATATATGTAAAGTATAAATGTAAATTAATTTATAGTATTGCTAATAATCAACTGTAATTTCTTTATTAGATTGCTGAATAACTTAATGCCAAATGCAATCAGATTTTGATCTTGAAGGCCAAACTCACACTTTAAATAACCAAACTACAATCTGCCTTGGGTAGCACAGTAAATGTACACAAGGATTTGGCACAGACATTGCTTATCACAGTCCAACATGTCAATGTGAACTCTGTGGTGCAAGGTTTGGTAAAAAGATCAATTTGAACACCATGACATTAGACTTGGTGCGGGTTGATGTAGTTACATGTACATACAATGAAACTTCAAAAGGGACTCTGCGATGTGAGTATATTAAAGAAAAAAGGCATCTTCCAATATTGATGAGTCGGTGGATAAAGCTAGAAGTGAACCAATATGTAAACCTTATGAAAAGTGTAAATCCTATTGATTGTAGAGTTGACAGTTAAGATCATACAAACAGGAACAGGTCTGTAAAGAGTAGGAATTTACCTACTGAAGGTAGAAAAGGTCTGTAAAGAGTAGGATTTTACCTACTGAAGGTGGAACAGGTCTGTAGGAGCAGGATTTTACATACTGAAGGTGGAACAGGTCTGTTAAGAGCAGGATTTTACCAACTGAAGGTAGAACAGGTCTGTTAGGTGCAGGATTTTACATACTAAAGGTGGAACAGGTCTGTTAGGATAAGGATTTTACCTACTGAAGGTGGAACATGTCTGTTAGGAGAATGATTTTACCTACTGGAGGTGGAACAGGTCCGTTAGGAGCAGGATTTTACCAACTGAAGGTAGACCAGGTCTGTTAGGAGCAGGATTTTACCAACTGAAGGTAGAAGGTGGAACAGGTCTGTTAGGAGCAGCATTTTACATACTGAAGGTAAAACAGGTCTGTTAGGAGCAGGATTTTACCTACTGAAGGAGGAACAGGTCTGTTAGGAGCAGGCTTTTACCTACTGAAGGTGGAACAGGTCTGTAAGGAGCAGGATTTTACCTACTGACGGAGGAACAGGTCTGTTAGGAGCAGGATTTTACCTACTGACGGAGGAACAGGTCTGTTAGGAGCAGGCTTTTACCTACTGAAGGTGGAACATGTCTGTTAGGAGAATGATTTTACCTACTGAAGGAGGAACAGGTCTGTTAGGAGTAGGATTTTACTAACTGAAGGTGGAACAGGTCTGTTAAGAGCAGGATTTTACCAACTGAAGGTGGAACAGTTCTGTTAGGAGCAGCATTTTACATACTCAAGGTAAAATAGGTCTGTTAGGAGCAGGCTTTTACCTACTGAAGGTGGAACATGTCTGTTAGGAGAATGATTTTACCTACTGAAGGTGGAACAGGTCTGTAGGAGCAGGATTTTACATACTGAAGGTAAAACAGGTCTGTTAGGAGCAGGATTTTACACCCTAAAGTTGGAACAGGTCTGTTAGGAGAAGGATTTTACCAACTGAAGGTGGAACAGTTCTGTTAGGAGCAGCATTTTACATACTCAAGGTAAAATAGGTCTGTTAGGAGCAGGCTTTTACCTACTGAAGGTGGAACAGGTCTGTTAGGAGAATGATTTTACCTACTGAAGGTGGAACAGGTCTGTTAGGAGTAGGATTTTACCAACTGAAGGTGGAACAGGTCTGTTAGGAGCAGCATTTTACATACTGAAGGTAAAACAGGTCTGTTAGGAGCAGGATTTTACCAACTGAAGGTAGAACAGGTCTGATAGGAGCAGGCTTTTACCTACTGTAGGTGGAACAGGTCTGTAAGGAGCGGGATTTTACCTACTGAAGGGGGAACAGGTCTGTTAGGAGTAGGATTTTACTAACTGAAGGTGGAACAGGGCTGTTAGGAGCAGGCTTTGACCTACTGAAGGGGGAACAGGTCTGTTAGGCGCAGCATTTTACATACTCAAGGTAAAATAGGTCTGTTAGGAGCAGAATATTACATACTGAAGGTAAAACAGGTCTGTTAGGAGCAGAATATTACATACTGAAGGTAAAACAGGTCTGTTAGGAGTAGGATTTTACTAACTGAAGGTGGAACAGGGCTGTTAGGAGCAGGCTTTGACCTACTGAAGGGGGAACAGGTCTGTTAGGATCAGGATTTTACATACTGAAGGTAAAACAGGTCTGTTAGGAGCAGAATATTACATACTGAAGGTAAAACAGGTCTGTTAGGAGAATGATTTAACCTACTGAAGGTGGAACAGGGCTGTTAGGAGCAGGCTTTTACCTACTGACGGTGGAACAGGTCTTTTAGGAGCAGGCTTTTACCTACTGAAGGTGGAACAGTTCTGTTAGGAGCAGCATTTTACATACTCAAGGTAAAATAGGTCTGTTAGGAGCAGCATTTTACATACTGAAGGTGGAACAGGTCTGTTAGGAGAATGATTTTACCTACCGAAGGTGGAACAGGTCTGTTAGGAGCAGGCTTTTACCTACTGAAGGTGGAACAGGTCTGTTAGGAGATGGATTTCAATACTGAAGGTGGAGTGGATGTGTCTTAAGTGATGTACATTTAAGTTGTTGAGTGAATGCTGCAAATTGCTTAGTGTTGGTGAGATTTTGCTTAGATCTAGACTAGATAGCTCAAATAACAAATGTGTAACTATTGCATTACCACTGTTTACATAACATTGTACGATTGGGGAATTTTATTGTATAAATTTATGATCATCTTCAACAGAATATTATATTTGTGATGCCTGCAATTACCATCACAGCCACCATTGGTTAGAACCTGAACATGGCTCCCCACTGGTCAGTGTTATCATCCATTGGCTGTGTGATCTAAAGTAAGCTTCAGAGCCGAATTGTAAGGTCAGAACCTGAACATGGCTCCCCACTGGTCAGTGTTATCATCCATAGTCTGTGATCTAGAGTAAGCTTCAGAGCCGAATTGTGAGGTTAGAACCTGAACATGACTCCCCACTGGTCAGTGTTATCATCCATAGGCTGCGTGATCTAAAGTAAGCTTCGGAGCCGAATTGTGAGGTTATAACCTGAACATGGCTCCCACTGGTCAGTGTTATCATCCATAGTCTGTGAAGTCAGTTTAAATCAGATGCAGTGTGACGTCGCTGCACATGAAATGTGTTGAGTAGCTTGAATAGAATTGTGTGACCGCTTTGCATGTTGTTTGTTTATTTAACTATCGGTATACAGATAAGAAATGGCTGATTATGGCAAAATAATTACCATTCAAATAAACCATATATATGTACAGTAAAATTAAAGGTGAAAAAATATCAACAATTCAATTGTAAATTAATATTATATATCCCCTTTTAATATATTGACTAAACCACTGATTACAGTTGATTAATAAACCTCTAGCATTTTGTAATATTTTGACTATGTTACAGCGATTTATACTGTAAGTATACTACAAACCAAACCATCTGAGATAATCACAGCTTGTTTGACTTATCCCCATCTCCTAGTAGATAGATGTATGTTTAGATATATAGTGTTATGTTATCACTTATAACATGTACCTGGTAATATGAAAGGTATAACCTCATTAAAATTTAATAAATAAAAACATTGTTAAATCCATTAACAGTTAAGCAGAGTTTTAATGAGATGAAGAAGAGATATTGTTTTCTTTTCTTTTCTAGGCATTGGGTGGAAAGCATTTTCATATCTAAATTAGTGCTAGGAAATATTTTAAAGACTGATGTGTTCATTTCTTATTACAAATTGCATTTAGATAGATATGCTAGCCTACCTTAGTCAGATTGTTACAAATTGCTTATTGGAAACTTTTTACGAGAGGTAACTTTTAACACAAACCACAGGTATAAGATGTAGCGTTAAGCTTATGTGCAGTAATTATGATAGATATATCTGTTTCTCACCTACTGTACAGGGATGTTGGCCTCAGTGGTGGTGATAGAAAGTTCTACTTTGGTACCGGACAGCTGGCATATGTATTACAACTAGGACCTGACATTATACTTGAATGATTAAAACCAGGTGTCAACATTTCAAAGCTAATTTGTCAAAAACGAGGATATGACTCCTTTGTGATGTAGACAAAGTTTATGCCCAGAATTGGACAAAAAGCCATGTTCTGAAATATCAAAAACCTACCGCTAGGTGTACCTTGGTTATTCCTGTGTTGTGCTTATATTTGTAGGAATATATAGTTCATGTTTTTATGTCTGTTTCGGTTTACTGTTTATGTTATTGCGATTTTATTTTATTTTGATTAATGAGATTTTGTTTTCGCTCTGGTTACATCTTGTTGCATAATGATTTGGTATTTTTAATGAGGATTAAATGATAAAGATGAATACAGTTTCGAAAATAGTCACTTGATGATTATGTTTCAAACATGTATTGGGTCCTCAAACTCTGAAAATGAACTAAAAACTGTCTCTCTTTATTGAAATATGGTGCTTGCTTTTAAAAGAGCACGATTAAATGATTCATCACAATATACATTTACCGTGGTCACCATCTTGTACATGTAAGCCATTTCTTCAATGGGAAGACAGTAATGTTCAAACTTGTACTGATCATCAAGGAGTTTAAACTGGATAAACTTACATACACATGCGCTCTTTGAAAGTTGCAGTTTAGCATTGTTTTTCTGATGGACTTAATTTTACCAAGACATGCTCCTTTTTTAAAAGTCTTGCCATACGTTCATTAAAGGGATTGGACATGGTGGCTAGACTATTACAGCCTCCACCCAGAGGTGTTAGATTGATTGATTCATTTAAAATCCGCCATTTACACTGGTTTTGATGTCATCATAAAGGTGGTTTTCCCATACATTGTTTACTGAATCTGCTGGGATATTTGTTCTAGTCATGTTTCACCGGACAGCTTTCACTGTGTACTTAACTCCACTATTCCAGGACAGCTAATGATGAGATATCTCACTACTCACTCATAAACTAAATATTTGGACTGGATTCTGATTGGCCTGTTAAAGAATACACGTAATGAAAGCCAAATTGCAGACTATTTAAGCATACATATACTTAATCTGTGAGTGTGAACTGTTGAAACATTGTGTATTCTATTTTAGATTTTTGAATTGATTGGCTGTCGTAGTTTGAACAACAAAAATAAGGTGATGGTTGCTACGGAATATTTCTTTACTTTCATGTTCAATAATGTTTCCAGTTTGTAGTTTTCCTTAAGTTGTTATGCAGGAAGCCATAACAAGGGTAATGGGACAATGAACCTGTGTAGGGGGTCTACTGATCTATTGTGTTTAGTAACAGTTAAATTCCTTTGCTCTTAACGAGCTCCTATATATATATATATATATATTGAGTAATAACCATTTCCTTAAGTTAACTTCCATTTTTGATTTGAGAATTTGATAAACCATCTCAATGCTCATACTTATTTATTGTAAATCACATCTTTTTTTCGTGCAATATGGAAAATCATTACCACATTAAGCAAACCAATATTTTATTTTTAGTTCAATGTATGTGTATCTTTAGTTTGATATGTAACCGTTTATGTTCCTGTCATCGTGGTTATTGTATTTCCTGACCTTGGTTGCTAAGCATGGTCATCACTGGTAACCAAGGTTACTATGTTGACTGTTCTATCAAATGTCAAACGTAATCAACACACACTGCTTACAGTCGTTTTTCAGCCATCTGATTAAACCTATTACAAAAAAAACAAATGTGTTGATTTTTGTTTTAAGATGATTTGTGTCACCAGAGGTTGGTTCATTTTGTTTGTGTTTGACGTCCTATCAACAGCTAGGGTCATTTAATTAAGGCCGTGCCAGATTTTGTTAGTGGAGGAATATCGGAGTGCACGGAGCAAGTCGACTGCACCACGTAGGGCTCGAATCTGTAGGGAAATTGATTGTAGACGGTCAGGTGTCTTAACTACTCGCCACTGCGCGCGCGGCCTCCTGTCACCAGAGAAACACCTATTTGAATGTTTCGAAAATTGTTTTAATTTTCAATATAACCTGTTCTATTTTTCCTGCGGTAATTACAAATACCTCCTTTTGCATCGTTCCCTTCGCTAGGAAACAGTATGCCAATGTGGTTTTGAAACCAGTTCTAGAAGTCTCCGAAAGAAGCTGACGATAGTCAGGGTTTTTGTATAAAGTTTAAACAGGTTTAACTGAATCTTATTTCAATAACATGTACAGGTCATGCCATATCAGTTATTTATACTTTTTGATGGTCATCTCGAATTGCTTCGTTGGCTAACCAACAATGATCGTTACCCAGGGTCATCAGTAAACCATATCACGAAGTTTGAACTAAATCGCCCTATATTATGTTAGTTTTAGTTTTAAATTCACATATGCTGCAGAGAATTTAATATAAGATAATGCTCAAAATCTGTCGGTCAGTCCGAATCCTTGACAGTAATCTCGGATTTTTGACCGGTTTCAAATGAAGTTTAGATCGGGTCACGTAAGAAACGTTTATTATTTTTTATCGAAAACTGCCCAACAATGTTAGCAAGTCAAAATCCTTCCGTCCAGCCCGAGTTGTGTCGTAATCAGAAGATAACGACATGGGTTGTACATCAATATACAAGAGTTTAAGCACGGACTTGGATAACATCTAATCTAATTCCGTGGTATAAGCGAGATCGGATAAAGATGCAACGTCTCGCACATATCTTCGGGAAGGAGTAATATTCAGCCACACAGCTGTGATTGGGTGTCCGTGATTTCAATAAGTAGTATACGTAAGTACACTTCGTACAAACATCTTGACTCCGGTTCGCAATCGTACAATTTTCAGAATTAGGACATTTTAATGAATTTGAAAAACCTTAAATCCTATATTCCTGGAATTTTGATTGTATTTCTAACGAAGAAGCACTAAGCTTAACCCTGTTACTGGCCACGACACTCACTAGTGGTGGTGTTGAGCTGACTAAGGACAGAGGTCCTGTGTCCCAGACGCTGTAGACATCATCATCTTGAGTAATAATGGTACATTGTAGCACCACTTATATCTCGGGTGTATACGACACTATGCTATACAGACTGAAGGTGACAAGTTTCCTTGTAAGACGTTATGACTCAACCTTAAACTTGCGGTCATTACACCAACTATATCATCACTAGTTTATATACAACATAAACGAGTGGTTTGAAGTGCAACTTAATTGATCGAAACATATATCAAACATTTTAAGATGAAATGCTTCATTCTCACCTACATTAAATTTTAGCTTTAATCTATACGACGTGTTCTGTGTATGAGATGACATATATTTAGTAGGTTTCATCACACCGAACTCATGGACTATTTTTAACAGATAGGGTACGGAATACACCATCTAATTCGTGAAAAGTGATATCAGAATACATACAAAGTCTACTTCCTGAAACTCGAAGACTGGAGATTGGTTTGTTTGTGTTTAACGTTTACGTCCTATTAACAGCTATGATCATTTAAGGACGTGCCAGGTTCGGTGGTGCAGGAAATTAAAGCCGGAGTTCCCGGAGAGAAACAAAAACCGACCTACCTGGCGACTGCCCCACGTAGGAATGTCAGACGCCTTAAAGGGGCATCACGATTTGTTTTGGTCTTTTTTTCAAATACTACATAAGCATATCAAGTGAGACTCCTTATGGAAAATAACGATCGGATTTGCCTGAAATAGATTCATAAAAATCATTAAATCTAAGATAATCATCGGTATTTCTACCTGTCTGACGTTTTGTTTAGGTATTTCCCTCTACTAGCGCATGCGCATAGCACACCATTTCTTTGTAAACAAAATGAAAAGTGTTGTACCGTGTCAGCTACGAAGCGAAAAGTTGCCAAATGGTCAAAAGATAGCGCAAGGAGTACGTTACGGAATCATTACCGCAGGTAGGAAGCATTCAAAGGGACAATATCTGCCCTAGCAGTTAGTACGGTGCATGTATTCTTCCGGATAGCCGGTTAAGCTGAAATGAAATCGACAGAAATGCTAGCGCTGTTTATGTTATGAATAAATATCTAAAACTATTAACATCGCTAGTATCTTTGTCTGAGTTTGAACACAGATGAACTTAGTTTCATATGTCAATGGGCATGTATCGGAGAGAGTTTACTTTGTGTTTCTATAATTATACAGTGGTTTATGCGAAAGGAGGGATAAGTGACTGGTTAGTTTGATTTTGCCATGAGGCCCTCCAAGGGATAACTGTTGTGATGGCCACGGCGTATTCTGTTCTGTCCTCTGTCGGTACTCGGGGTCAAATGAGATACGTGCGCTATTAGATTTACATAATTTATAATATTACCGGGATCAGTAAAACGGTATGATTTAATTATATTGCTAAATTGATATTTTTTTTATTTTTTTTGACATGCAAGATTTAAATTAGTACTAATATGAATACCCGGCCTCCTCTGGCGCGACGACGCAATATATAAAAAAAAAATCGCTCTTCGTCAGAAAGCTACGTTATCGCAACTAGATTAAAATGTCAAAATGACGGACCATGATGAATAACTGAGGAAGGAGAACCTACTTCTAGTAAATAGGATCGCATAATAAAAAAAAATTAAATCATAATTTTTCAACAGTTCATGTTTTCATATGATGTTGACTTAGAATGTATGATCATGTAACAACCTTTTCTCTATAAAGAATTAATTTTCGACTTCAGGAAGAATCGGAATACGTATTGAAGCCCTTCCCGTCTTTTTGCTGATGATACTTCCCTATCCGTCTCTTCTTCTTCCGCAATTGAACTTGAAACTACTACTAACCGAGATCTTGAAAAAAATCATAACTGGGCAGAAAATTGGCTTGTTAAATTTAATCCTAATAAAACTGAAGCACTACTAATTTCAAATACCAATGCTGAGCTTGATGTCAATCTCATTTTTAATAATGTTAATATTGATTTTATTGAACATCATAAACTTCTAGGCATTTTCCTGGATGCTAACTGTAAATGGACTCACCATATTGATAACATTTGTAAAACTGTAACGAAACAAATAGGAATTCTCCGCAAGTTAAAATATACTTTAAATCGCAAGACATTAAACAGAATTTATCCTACTTTTATACTCCCTCTGCTTGAATACTGTTGCGAAGTTTGGGACGGTTGTACAACTGCCGATGCAAATAAACTTGAAAAACTCCAGTTAGAAGCGGCGCGTATTGTCACCGGCCTGCCATCTTTTGCTAGTAGAGCGTCTCTTTACTTCGAAACTGGTTGGGAAGTCTTGTCTCAACGTCGCACCCGCCGCAAACTTCAACTTTTCTACAAAATTCACAACAATATGACTCCCTCTTACCTAACTGACCTTCTCCCGCCACTAGTAGCTACTTTAACTCCTTATAATTTGAGAAACTCTGAGAACTATTCCATTCCTAATTTCCGCTTACAATCTTCACTCAACTCGTTCATACCTTCTACTTTAAGACTATGGAATGAGCTTGACACTAATATTAAA